GATGTGGCAAAATATAAGTGACAACTCATTACCACCGCAGTCGTGATAGCAGACGAAGCTAGAAGTGTTTTCTAAAAAGTGTCCGCACCTATAGGGCGTTAAAATCGCATACAGAGTGTTAATCGCACAACAGTTTTCGTTTGTTCGACTGACAGCGCGGTTGTCAAACATGCAGTATTATATAATACGAACTTGTACAAATTACTGCAGTAAAGTGTAAAAACAGAATTTTGTATCATATTTTCACTAAACAAATATATTGTGTTATCATAGTTGTCATTTAAAAGTGTTACTTTGTACAGTTGTACAGCATTTAATCGTAAATATACAAAAGCAACCAAAATTATCAAATAGCTAACTGTCCTTTTTCTACACATTGCATGCGCAAAAGATGGAAAGAGACCCATTAGGTCAATTTCAGGAAGCTTATATAAACTTCTTCAAATGTATTTTTTTAGGAATATTACAAAACAAACGCCAATTTTGGCTTTGTGAGAAGCATCAAAATTACTTGAGAGTGTAACGGCTATAAACGTAACGGTTATAAAGCTATAGTTATTCTATATTTATTTTCTATATTTTTAATCTATAGTTATTTTGTCGCCTTTTCTGCGCTTTATTGGAGTCCCTTAAAGCTAAAAGACAACTCAATCTCCCATCCAATGTGCCAAAGGTCTATGATGGAACATGTTTTTTTTAAACATTTTGTTATATCTGGCTCCGGGTGAATTTCTACCGGGTTCATCAATTAGTCTCGCTACGGATAACTCTTAGTGTCCTGAAATATAATAATTATGTATATTTAATGGAGTAATTTGATTTCTGCAATCTATTTTAAATCAAGCCTCCATTCACTCATTACAATCACTAGTGTAGGGCACTATGAAAGGTGCACTTTCAATATTTACTTAATAACTTTCTTTCAATGGAAAATAATACTTTCAAGAAATTAATCGAGGGCATTTTACCCCTTCGCAATGGGGTAAATAGCCCTCGAATTTTTTGGCAAAGGTAATATTTGCATCACCACCAAAAATGATTTTCTATTATACTTGCCGTAAGCCGATAATTGCTTACCACTTGCACATCGTTTAACATTCTCCACACATTGCAATTTTTTCATCGTCGTCTCTCTACTTCGCATTTTGACAGTTCTGCACAGTCATTATATCAAACTAAAATTTGACAAACGAGATGAAAAGAAATTACAAAAACAGACGAACTGATATATGAGTTATTAGATAAACGGCATCTAGAACATTTTTAATACAGTTCGAGACACTAGAGTAATTAGAGAAACGTAATTAATAACTAATTTATTGTAAAACATGTGAAAACGGAAAGTTAAAAAATCTGATTTTTTCATTTTTACGGCGATGGTTAAATAACAAAGATAGCTATTAGCTATATTATACACAATTTCTTGTCGTTATCCTTGTTCTTCAAAATGTACAACAATAGTTAATTACCAAATAACATCATCCCACCTATAAAGAGCCCGAAACGTTGGTTTGTTTGAAAAACAAACATACTCCATTGGGATCCAAAAAGAAACTGTTTCATTTCCTATATAATATATGATTTACTTTTATATGATATAGTTACATTACAAATGAAAAAGGCATGACAGAGATATTATAACATTGATGTACTAAATGCAACGTAAGCTACGTTTTTTGGTGAAATACAAACAACCGAAATTTAAAAGCGATACACTTCTAGCTGCGTCTGCGATCACGACTGCGGTGGTAATGAGTTGTCACTTATATTTTGCCACATCTTATGGCCTTCCCACATATGCCGAAACTTATTATTTTAAGGCGGCAAGGAGCAATCGTTTGTGGTGGTATATTGTGTGTCTATGACAAAGGGGATAGCGATATTCCTTTGAGTGTAATATTCTCAGGTCTATAGCTATACAGGACATTCGGAAGTGCTCTATTACACGAACACGTCGCATTCACAACAGTTATTTTCCACCATATCAGAATCAATTCCAGATAAGAGATTTAATAAATATTCTTATTTTCATGTTGTCGTATTTCATTGAGTTATGTGTTTATGTTGGCATAACGGGATCGATTGCTCACAGTTAGATCTGTAAGAGTATAAAATGAGGCACGATGATCGATCGAATACATTATTCAGCAACCATGGGGCAGATAAGAACTCTTCAACGTGTTCAATTGATATTCTTCGTTAGTATCGTCGCTAGCGTAAGTAATTTAGATTTATTTATTTTAGTAGGTGCAATGGATATTCTGTCCTTTGTTTAAAAATATAATAATACGTGACTTGAATTTTGCACTGTATATTCGTTTTATACTCCGGACGTAAATGTCGACAAAACTAGTTGAGGGGTGAGACTCTCAATAGCTCAACTAATTTGTGTCATAGAATAACAGAACAGTGGTCGATACATTTACTTGGCACCATCTACAGTATCGCCACGCAAAATGACATATACTCGTACATTGTGAGCATACTTATAATACAAAACTGACGTATTTCCGTTATGATCTACGAAGGTTATTAAGCTTGTTTTGAAGTATTATTTTAATGCTTATAAACGAGGATACGGAATACTAATTTTTGTTAACCGACTTTAAAAAAGGAGGAGGTTCTCAATTCGACTGTGTTTTTTTTGTATGTATGTTACGCGATAACTCCGGTTTTCATGATTCTTTTTTTGTTGGAAAGGGGTACTTCCATAGTGGTCCCATTTTGAAGAAAATCATCCACTTCCGAGGGTGGCTGTTCACGCATGAAGATTCCTTTTTTATAAATAGCGCCTAAATTTTACTAAGGAGCAATTATTTTAATGGTTGATTTTGCTAGTTCTCCAATTCAAGGCATTTTTCTCTCAATATACTTTGAGTAGTAAGAACCGCTTTTTATTATCTCCAGTGTGAAGTCCTGCTTCGTGGCGAATTTAAGGATATTTCAATAAAACTTAGCAAATAGACGTAATGAACTTTGAGGTCGGTTTTTTTAGTACTCCGTGCTGAGATTATTATTTTGTTTACAGGTCGTTATCAACGCTCTTCCGTCACCATCACCGAACTCGAACTTCCCGTTTCCGTTCCCAAGGAGTAACTTCCCGTTTCCAGACAACAACTTCCCGTTCCCAAGGAGTAACTTCCCGTTTCCAGAAAGCAACTTCCCGTTCCCAAGGAGTAACTTCCCGTTCCCGTACGTCGTTTATTAGACCGTTGAGCCCTAATCAATACTGTATGTAGATTTGGAATAACAGCTAATATGTTTGCCTCCTGATTCATGAATTTAGTGCACGTGTATGTGCGCAGCACGCACAATAAAATTATAACATACGAGTAAAAAAGCTCACTATACATTCATGTCAACATTTCATTTTCAATATGTACATACGTGAGATCACAAATTAAAGCATACAAACTCTCTGTCCACTTTTGGATGAACCGTTTTCAAAAACATTGCCGTTGTTATAAAACACAATATTTATTTGTCATTTCGCTTTAAATACAAAGTTGCAACTAGATAAGTGTGGTTTTCTTTATTATCTTTTACCAAAAGTTTTGTGGCACGGCGAGCTTGTTATATTTTCACAAATTTAGGAAACAACGAAGACTTATTAGCTTATTACTTAGTAAAATAAATTTTTAGGCTTTGAGGGTTATCCTCGTGTAAAAAATCTTACTAATGTTGAGTTTTTGGAAACCGTGGTCAAAATATCAAACAATGGTTTAAATTTGAATTTGCCCGCTAAAATTAATTAAATATCGTTAGAAAATTGTACAGTAGATTTTGGAGGTAGCAATTGTTCGTAGTAGGAACGATGTAGATACCAAGGCATTAGTTGCAAATACAATCAAATATTTCAAAGTTGTCTGGTCACTGCCGTGTCTAGTCTGGATACGTTGCTGTTATGCTCAGGCCACACAGAGGCGGCCGCGGAAGCGTTCCGGGCGCGGGAATTTTTGTAATGTACAAGTTCATGTGAATACTGCCACACTAAAACGCGCAGCGGACACGTATCTACCGTGTAACTGCCTTCAAGGCCGAATGGTTACTACGCCGTCTGCCACGCAGAGGTCCCAGGTTCGATTCCCGGGCCGGGAGAAATATTTGTATGGCCTACATTTATTTCTCTTGTGAGTTTGGCTGTAATTTGTGGTTGTCTATGTGTGTGTCCATGGCACCCACGACACAGGGTTTCCCTAGTGATATGCTACGTCGAGTGTGTGCGTTGTTGTTGTTGTTGTTAATTCGTTTATTTATTGCAATCATGTCACTTGATAATACTGTACATTTAAAAATGTTCTGTACCTAAACATTAACCCTGGTCAAACTCAAACCAAAACTAAAACTAGACATTAGCGGGCTTGCACAGACACTCTATCGCGCGTGATATAGCAATTATGCGCAATTGAGCGTGCGTGTAAAGTAAAGACTTTGAAAGGAAAAGGGAAAGACCGCGCTACCGCTTATCAGTCGCGCGTGCAATTGCGCACTCCAACACACGCCGATTTCAAGCGGTCTATTATCCTTTACACGGACGCTCTTTTTGTTGTAACAAAATGAACACGAGCAATGACGCGCGAACGAATGTTGGCTTAAAAAAATTCAAACCGGCAATCGCGTACGATTGCGCGTGCAACTTTCCAGCGCGCAATCTTGTACGCTTCTGGTCACGCGCGGTAGAGTGACTGTGTAAAGGGGGCTATTCATTTTACATTATCATATCCATTATTATTAACATTTATTTATGTATTCGTATTTTTAATTAATTTATTGCTGTAATCATTAATACAAAAATCGAACACTCAGAAAAAAATCCTTCGATCCGGTCGGATTCGAACCGACGTCTTCTTGCATACCGTGCCAGACGCTACACCAACTAAGCCACGGAACGAACCAACGGACCCAACGAATTTTTCTATGTGCTTGCGTCGTGTCTTTGTAATTGGTTTTTCAACGACTTTTTAGTCGTAGCGCCATCTATGAGAAATCTATGAAAGATTTATTACTCAGTTAGTACCTTTACAGCTACTAGTCCTGGCGAGAGATGTCGCTAATCACTGTATTTTAAATTTTTATTGAATTGATATTCAATTATTTTTTGTGAAATTACTCCACTAGTTTGTTGTAATCATTAATACAAAGATCGAACACTCAGAAAAAATTCCTTCGATCCGGTCGGATTCGAACCGACCGATAATTTATTGCTGTTATTAAATATATAAAACCATTTTATTTTAAAAACTCCTGCAACGAATACAAGCTTTTGTATACTGTTTTCGATCTTTGTTATGCTCTGGTATTTTATTATAAGTTTTTACAGCCATTGCAAAGGGATCAGAGAGAATGAAATTTAATTTTGAAGTTGGGGGTCTAATGTTTGGCGTGGACGCTGTTGAATGTTTTGGCCTATCGTAACGTGGGAATAGGCGCATGTTTTTTTTTAACAAAAATACATATTTTTAATATTAGATCATTATCTGAGAATGAGAGTGAGCACTTTTTCTGTGATAAAGTATGAACGGCAACTTGTTGTCTAGTCTATATTGACTATTATGCGGAGGTATCTTTTTAGCAACCTAAATAATGTCTGTGTTATTTCCCCATAAGATTATGTATGCCATATTGTAGCCATTATGTTTATCTGTTAACTTTTTTAGCTCGTATAACGCATTTGTGAACCTGTGGCCGTAGCATGGCAGTACACTTGTGATAAACCTCCCCGTGACATTATTTATTTCAGTTGATAAAGCTGTTTTTCCCAACATTTCTCGATATGATGGAAAGTATGTAAGGCTGGAAAGTTGTTGTTTGACGTGAGAGCTTGTATTGAAACCTGAACGTAGCGAGGGTTACAAGCAAATACAAAACAACTTTGCTGCCGAGCGACACACCTAACTTTTCCCTTACTATAGCGAGGGAAATGGTAGATGAAATTAAAACACTTGAAGTGTAACAAAATGTTTTAATAAAATTAATATCGTTGTCAATTCAATGTCAACAATAATAAGAATAAAATATACCAACGGATTCAGATTACATAAATAATATAGATACGACAAATCGCGTAGTTGAACGTGTCATTGTTTTTTTTTCATAGAAAGAAATAGGTGCACCACAATCTAAGGTCGAATTGGAATTTCAAAAACTTTTTCCATGCTAGCATGAAATAATAGTGCAGTTTTATGAGGTTACACCCTAGCCAATTTCCGTCGGAAATACAAAAAAATATTTGAAATTGAATTAAACAAGATGGCTGCCATGCAAGTCTTCTCACACGGAAACTATTAGAGATACGTAGGTAATGCCGAAAGGAATGTCATAGAGTGTAACAGTGGCCAACAGCTTGTGTCAAAAAAATCAAGATGGCGAAACCACGGACCTGTAAAGGTCTGAAATAGTTGGTTTGTTTGAAATAACAATGATATGCGATTTTGATCCGAAAAAAATGTTTCATTTCCTATGTGTAACAATCGCGAAAACTTAAAAATTGTGAACTCGAATCATAAACAGAAAGTCTGACATAAAAATAAACCTGGCGTGTACGAGCCGCAGTCATTTCAAAGAGAACTTATCGATCAGATACCCGATGTTTGCATCTCCAACGTGCTGATATGACGGTTTGTAGTCTGTGAGCCAAAAGTTCATTCAGGCGTGTTATTTTTCGTATTACTGAAGCTGGGGATAAATTTGTTAATTTACGTATTAACAACAATATTAAAATAAGAGAGTGCATAATGTTATCTCCTTTAGATAGATAGATAGATAGATAGATAGATAGATAGAATACGTTTATTGACTTACCACAAGCACACACAATAATATGTAACAACAAATAGCTAAAGAAAGAAAGAAGACAAAAAAAAACTCAAAACAAAACATACAAAATAACAAAAAGGAATGAAATCAAATAAATATACACAATAAACTACATATATCTACAATTAATTAAAAAGCAAGTTGTGAGTGCTGCAGCAAGCCAAACAGGCCATAGCTCAGTGCAGGTGTTGCCCAAAAGCAACGCACTGGTTTTCAGCTATCGCCTAGTGGCTTACGCGAAGTGGTGTATCACAGCAAAAAGCAATGTGTAAGTAATGTGTAGGACGTACAGTGAGTCTTAGTGTAGTTGTGTGTCAGTGTTAACGTGTCGATGGGAGCGTCCGTGGAAGCGTACAGGTGTGGCAAGCATGAAATTTCAAAAACCAACTAGAAAAAAAAAGATATAATAAAGAAAACGGACAAAAAAAAGATATAACAAAGAAATAGGACAAAAAATTTATTATTATTATAAATTTTACAAATTGGTGCTTTATGGGGAGATACATTTGTAAACTAAAAATTTGAGTGCTATATTGAAGGATTTTGATAAGTGTAGATCCTTACACTTACACTTAAGTCAATAAAATTATTCAAAGTAGTTTAAAAAAGTTCACATATATTATTCGAATAGGTTTGAACATGATATGGAACAGTCCTTTGTTTTTTCATGATTTGAGACTGGTCCTCGTCGTAATTTTTTTTTGTGTCGTGCTTTGATGATTTGACTTTCAAATTGTTTCATTCTATTACTTTTGTTTACGATAAAGTAACAAAGAATTAGCAAGATTGGAACGTCAAAAACAATAAAATATTGAGAGATAAGTTTAAAGAAAACAAAATTGTTACGCTAGCGTCACAATAAGTTTATGAAAATGTAATTTATATCAAGAAGAATAGTATTTATGTTGCAAAAAATAGAGATAGACATAACATTAATTCGAGAAATAGAAACGAACTGACTGTTCACGACAGTCGTTTTTACAAAGTCACTTGGTCTCATGAAAAAAATACAGCTTCTGTATATTTGGATGAAAAAATCCGTGGTAGTGACCCGTTTAGCTTTTGCAGGTAGTCTCGATCTACGATGTTTGAAATAAATATTATAAATGATAAATATTTACTTACAAAGAGCAACCAGAGTTTCTAGCTCTTTTTTTTTAAGGGAATCTGACTTAGGAATGAGCATTACAGTTTAATCAATATGAATATTTCAAGTGTAATTTTGCATATCTATGAAATAAAGCATTAATGTCTTTGACTTGTGTTAAAAAAAGGATACCAAGCGGCTAAGAAGTGGAATTCCCTGCTTGGGGACTTATACCTCGAACGCTACAACTTAGACTTTTTCAAGGCAAGGGTGAATAGGCATTATTTAGGTGTGTATGCTACATCGTCTACCTTATCGTCACTTTCCATCAGGCGAGATGGAGGCCAGATGCGCATTTACTTTTGTTTAAAAAAGAAATAAAAAAATACAATTTCATCGAAACATGTAGCTTTAGAAATCGTTTTCTAAGAAAAAGTTTTGATTTGTACAAACCGCTTCATCGTTTGTAACACTTTGTAGACTTGCAATGTGTTGTTCGGCAAAACATTTGTCAAAATTCAAGCTGTCGCTGTGGTAATGGGAGGGTAATCTGGCTGGTCCCTAGGCGCTGGTTAACCTTCCGTAGAAAATGGATGTTGGCGGATAACTT